AGCTCTATGTCATGTGAGCAACTTGTGCTTAATTTTGCCGTGGTATAGACTAAACCGATGTTTAATTTCGCTCTTTATCCCCCCCCCCTCCTCCCTCACCCTATCTCGCTGGACGAGTTTGGCATTGATTTTCTTACAATTGGAACATAGAAGAGCACAGAATTTTTCTCAAAGCACCAACAATCGCGTTAAAGTGAAGCCAAACTTCGGTTCTTGTAATATGATTCCCATGCTGTAAAAAAGATCGTGAAAAGATCATCAAACCAACCTTAAAGGTTAAGTACTTTTCTAACCAGTTCCCATCAAAATGCACCTCCACGACCTCTCCAGTTTTGTTATCAAAAGCTCGATAAACACTGAGGGTACGACCGTCATCGGTAGTCACCTGAAGCAAAGTGCACGAAATGTAGCAGCATGGATATGCCCCTTCATACCGACTCAATGCATGAAATTTCGACGTAATTATCACACAGTTGAAGCCCTACCTGACCGTAGTTCCCAAACTTCAAGTCTGGTGCAACCAAGATATCAGCAAGCGGACGCATCGAGAGCATTCCCTCAGATGAGGTGACGTCCGCAGAATCATTTGGCAGTGGACGAAGACAAGGTGTGGAATGCAAAGAGTATTCATACCCTTAAAAAGGACATATGAAAGAAAACGCAATTTCAGATACGTTTATGGAAAGAAAGAGACGGTTATACACAATTTATTTGAAAGCTATGTCTCGAAAAGTTCCCAGAGCAGCGCAGTGCTTGGAAGCGCTTTGGAATACAATGGAACTCGTTGAGAAGAAGAACGCGCTGTAACCGCATGATATGCTGTTTTCTAATAGTGTGAGAAGGACGCGCAAAATTTGTGGCTAAAAGAGCAAAAGTGAAGATTTCATCCATGATCGATAACTCTTTGGGACACGGCTAGCATTCACTCCCAATAAAGGCTCCTGAATGTAAAATGGTGTATACACAATGCTATGCGGGGCCCAGACAGTTGGAGTAATGTTTGCCCAGGCAAATCTTAGTGGTTCCGAATTACCTATTTCAAACGGATAGAAAGTGACTCGGTAGGGCAACGGTTCAACTGGGATTTACTGTTTTCTACACCACCTTCGTCTACCGACAGAGGATAAAGGTGATAAAAAAGCAAAGAAGAAATAAAAAGGTTAAGAAGTCAAAAAAAGGATCGCACAGAAAGAAACCTCTAGCGAAATCGTGTACTACGGAGACGACTCCATCGGGAACGTTTGTTTCATTGATAAATGGCATGAAACCATCTTTTTTAGCGCCGTTGACAATAACAATCTCGTCCTTCGCCGAATAATATACCTCCTAAGTGACACATGAGAATTGTTAGAACGAAACTATTGGTATTGTAATCAATAACTTCTTCCTCATGCCAAAAAGGTTTGTACGGTGATTTTTTACTACGCCTGACGTTTCGACAATCACGAGTTTCGGTATGCTCTCAGGCCTTTGAAACGATGAGATTGGTTTGGCATGAGAAAGAAGGTATCGACTACATAAATGCAAAATGCCTAAGTTACAATAAATGCGAACAATCAGTTATTAGTATTGTATTAAAATCATACCGCTGCCTCGTATTTCTTTTTGTTTCCATCAACGACCTCTATAAAAGCGTTGAAAGGATCGGAAACATTCCGGGGAATGTCCGTTTCCTTCCACCCTTCACAAATCGTTCCGGAAGGAGTCTAAAATTTCAGAAGATGGCTACTTTCGAAGAAAATTCAACTTCTTGCAAAAAAACGCTTATGTAAAAAAAACGCTTATGTGCACACTAACCGAGAACATGTGGCTATCTTCAGTTGTTGGAACGTCGTATCGGTCGAATTCTACAGATAACTGAGATTTCAGCGAGTTCCTATCTGCAACATTTTTTTTACGGCGAATGAGCATAAAACCATAACTTTCGGTAATGAGGGGTCAGATTCGGGATGACAAGAAAAATGGAATATTCCCGAGATTGACCGCAGCGCTCATGGGTATTAGAGCGATGCAGGTATATTTACGTTCAGAGATTCCATTATGAACTCATCCTTGCAAAGCTTTTACCTAGAGCTAATGAAAGACGGTACACCTGATCAACTAGCGAAGGCGGGATGATAAATCAACGCTTCATAATTGCTTCCTCATATGTGGTGCCGAAAATCTCTCTATCTTCCGCCATGCATCAAAGCAACACCGGACCCATGTTTTCGCCGCCCGTGGGCCTTTCCCGTTGCCTTCTTTATATTCGTCGCATTTCACATTGCGGCAGTAACCATAAGCAAGAATGAAGCAGCCACTAGTTCTCCTTTCAAATTTACTGTCATCTTGTCGGATCGTGATAGTCTCCCTCATAGACTTCGCATAGAAAGCAACCAGGGCACGTCCTGTGGCTAGGAAAAAAATTGCAAACGATTCTCCCGAAAAACTTGCTCCCTCTAGTACGACCTCCTTACCCATAACCGATCCTACCTACAATCTTCCTGAAATCTCCAAACTTCCTACCACATTAGCAGAGTTTTTCCGACCTCAAGCAGAAGAAGGGTGACGGAAGGAGACAGAGGGTGGTGAGACGTATATAGCGTCACAGGATAATCGATAAAAGTCAACAACCGAAGACATTTTTCTTGAAGGTAAATAACCACCTCTCCAGCGACTCAATACGACCTCTTGATGGGGATCCACTACGTACGAAGTTCCTTGAAAGTAACACATAATCGCAAGTGGATAAACCCGATCCTCACTACCGATACTACCTATTGACTACCGCAGAAGAGCTGGTAGGCAGCCGCTGATGGAAATATCGTTCACCCACTCCTCACACTTCTCTTATTCTCTTTGCACAGACACCAAAATCACGCCTTTTTATGACACACTTTGTTCCCGTACCTACATCTATGAAAAAAAACGGGGAATCGTATCAGCTCGGCTTCTTCCCTGCTAAGGTATGCAGCAAAATGCAGAAGACGTAAGTAGAAAGAATGCAAGCCAAAGGAGTAGATGAAAGTCTATCGACTTCTTCACGCCTTCTGATTCTTTCCATTCGCTCATCACATCGATACTCCTACTCCTTCACAGCGTGCAATCTCTTGCACTCGAGAGTCGCAAAGTATGAACCCAGCCTTACCATTTCGATCCCCCTACCACCCTTCACAGCAACTTTGGTTATGATTTCGAATCACTTCTTCAGAAACACTGAATAAACATAAAACATAGATATAAATTTATGATCCAGGACAACGGAAAATTCATAATTACCTGAAAAGTTTCCGTACTCGGAAATTTGAACAAGGAGCACCAACGGGTTATTAAAACCTGGTGAAGGTGGTTTTAAAGACTTTTCCGCAGCAAACACAACCTGAAAGAGACTATTTTTTCGCATATAAAAATCCGTGCTCAACGAAGTATGAAAGATCTGTTTAATCAGTTGTCCTTTCTTTTTTGTCTTTTTCCACCTCGGTGAAGTGGTGAACTCTCGCAGGCTGCGAGCCACCCTTAACTAGATGCGATCGCACCAATGTTCTCCCCACCCCTGGAGTACAGGCAGATCAAGGACGGCGGCTATCTGAAGCAACGAAAAAATGCCAAAAGGAACTGGGAGAAGAGTTTACAATGAGATCTGGAATGAGTTTTTTTCGGCCATGCTGTGAAAAGGGAAAATAGGAAGATACAGCAGCCATAGGACGCTAGTAAGGCATGAGGGTAAAGGCGAGGGCTAAGGCCCAGTAATCCTTTGATCTCTTCTATAAATGAGTTGCTTTTCTTAACGAAACTGCTAAACGATCGTACGTCATACCACTACCACTCGTGCAGGCTAGTTTGTTCCGCATACTTGTTCCGTTAGACGCACGCCCCGGCACCAACGAACACCTTCCACACCAGCCACGACACTACTGTTCCGCTAAAAGGTAACGCAGAAGTAACAGAAAGAACAATAAGCTGTAAGTTCCCCTACTAATTCTCCTTGGTATTTCTTCGAGAAGTCCAAAAGTCCAGACAGCAGCGTTGAGAACGAGCCCAAGTTTGATGAAATTTTAGAAAGTTCGGGGAATGCCGTCAGCGGTGGTGTGGCAGTAGCTTTACATTGCCCAGCTAAATAAGTTTAGAATTAGAGAAATGCAGTAGTCATGCCAGAGTTTTGATTAGAAGCAACAACAACAATAGAAACATTACATGTGTGATTGTACAGAAATAGTGACGCATCAGGCTTAATGGCAATCCATTGCAAAGAGTCGTTGCGAGACGAAAACAATGTTGAGGTACGTTCAGTACTGGAAGCTTCAGTGAAGGCCGTAGTAGTATTGCTAATCCAGTTGGAAATCACACCAAGAATCTAAACCACGAATGAAACTTTTTGAATAAAACACACAACCGCACACCCTACACTCCACGCAACAAAAAACGGGAGATGACCGATATCTTTCGTTCCCATAGTGATGGGGAGAAAGTCGGGTTCTAGTCGAGTACTGGGCATTCTGGTGCATCAAGGGGGGGGGGGGGCTCTTTGCGAAAATTTAGGTGGAAGGGATGAACTCCGGGCAGTGAAGAGATTTACTCATTTCGAGA